TAAAATTTTAAAATTTAAATTTAAGAAGTAAAAAAAAAAAAAAAATTGGAGACCAATCGATCCTATGGTGCTGCCTATCTTAAAATATTTCATATCAGTTTAGAGTGTTAAAAAACAATAAAAAAGGATGGGCCGGACTTGAGTAGTTTTGTTGGGTGCCTTGGGCCTAAGCCGAACAGGGTTAACAGGAAGCACCACTACAAATGACGTCATCATGTGCGGAGTTCTAGATTTTTTCCGGTGAATTGTACGGAGTTTATAAAAGAACAATTGAGGATTCCTCTTCAGGGGGGAAACGGGTAACCCGAGTTCCCAGATCCCTGGAGTTGAAGAAAAATCGAATCTTTGAACTTTGTGTAGTAAAATCAAAAAGAAAAGAAGAATCTTTGAGACTAGCGGATCTCCGTTCACCGCACAGCATTATCTCTCGACATTTTCTTGCAATTGGATGACTAATGTAGCAGGACAGAATTCATCACACTGTAAGGGCAGCAATTAAGCAAAGGTTAAAATTTTTCCTGTTCTTTTCTCAAAATATGTTTTTTTTTGTCCTCATAGAAAAACCCTTGAAAATTTGAGATTGAAAGTGAACGTAAATGGCTGATGAATGAATGATATTTCTTCGGGAATATATGTGGGTAAAGGGAGAGGAGATTCAAAGCTTGGAGCTAAGCAGTTGGCATCTGCCATTGCAATTCCGATATTGGGTCTTTGACTGTTTGCTAAAGTTTGCTGATTTTAACTGGGGTTGATGATAACCGAGGATGGTGCCAACCTTCAGCAGCGGAATTCGTTCACAAGTTGAAGGTAAGTGTGTTCTAAATGATACTGATTTCAGCATTTAAACACAAATACATCCATTTCCTATGTTTTACCGTTCAAACTGCAAAGTAAGAACTATTGAAGGGGATGATCTCAATGTCAAAGAACCCTGCCACTATCCAATGATTTATGCTGTGCTGTCCATGCAGCTCGGACTTGCTTATTTTTGAAAACAATATGTATGACTATAAGAGTTTCTAGAAGAACTCAACCTAGAAGGGAAAATGAACAAATATAAAATAATCCAGG